ATCAATTATCTGCACATCAATTATCTGTACATCAACTATCTGTACATCAATTATCTGTACATCAATTATCTGCACATCAATTATCTGTACATGTATCATACTAACAGTAGAGTACTCTGCAGTTTTCGGGTTTTTATATTGTTGAAGGAAATAGTTGACAGTTCGTGTGCTTTTGGACTGTTTTGATATATGTTTTCTTTCTTTCCTATTCTGCTGTTGCATGCGTATTACTATGAGCACCTCATTGACCCCGCTCGTTCCCCCGATTCTTCATTCCATTAGGCCTAAGCGAAGACTAGCCAAGCTTGCTTGGCGATGTCAACGCGAAAAGGCTGATAATAATAATGTGTGCCTTGCGTTCATTGTTTGACATTTTACTCATACATGTACATGTCGACATTTAGGAAATGCTCACAGTGCAATTAGTCGTCCTTGATTAGTACATTGTTAAGAATTGTAGATTGATTACTGAATTGTCGGTATAATCGTTTCAACCCTGGTATTACTTAATGATAGTGACGTTGTGCTCTACGTTATGGGAACGTGGCGTGAACAATCATGGGAACAACCTGCGCGTTCCCGTAACGTGAAGGAAACCTGTTCTGCTCTACGTTCACGTGGAATGTGTACTGGGAATTCCCCCGTTCTATATCCGGATAGACTCTAACTCAGACACCTGTTTTCTACATGCATACAGGCCAACCCTCCCGGTTTGTCCGGGAAAATCCCGGGAAATCAACACCACTGCCAGGGTCCCGGGGATTTCAAGCAAACTCCCGGAAAAGTCACTTTTTGTCTGATACAGAATGTTCCTGAAAACTGCATGGATTCGCTTCGAATGTCCCGCTTTTTTCTTCAAAAATATGTACGGTGCGCACTCGCACTGTGCACGACACTTTCAACACCTGACCAGCCTACAAGATCTGCACTGACTGCACTGACAGGCCTGCAGGTAGGCGCTGACTGATCGAACTGCACTGCAGGGTCGAACTGTGCTGTGCGCAGCAGACCTGCAGAGTCCATGCCGTCGGACTTTTCTTGGGCGAGAAAAGCTCTTTTTCACTTGTTTTGCGCCACCCAGGGATTTTGAGAGAAATCCAGGGATTCTGCATGTGTCAAGGGATTGAAAGTTTGGTCGGGTTAGTCAGTATGTACATGATCCCTTTACATTTCACCAAGAGTACACAACCCCCCAGGGTTGTGTACTCTTGGTTTCACGTATAGCAGAACCTCACTCATACACTCGGTTCCTGCATACAGTAGTTTTGAACTGAGTCTGTCACTTGATACCTTACCCATTAGTGGTCGCTATTGGCTTTCCCTCGTGCGCCACCAGTTTGGTCCGGAAATTGACATCTGGGTTATTCTTCGTACGGCTTGGCTTTCCGAGTATCACGCCATACTGACTTAGCAAGTGGGAGGGATGGCTTGGTGGTTTCAGAAGACAGCGGTTGAAGACGTTGGTATTTCCGGTGGCATCTGACATCAGTGATGATGTGCTGTCAGAATTAGGAAAACGTTCAGGATTCCCGAGCTGGTTTGTGGGGAGTTTGAGCTGGCACCGAACGCCTCAGATGAAAATTAAATGGACGGACGGTCCATGCAGAGTCAACGAGCATGGTCGTGCAACTGATATCTTGCCCTCGATGCGTAACAACTCATGTCCCTTGTCATAACGACGCCCACTTAGGTAGGCGCTGTGGGCGACTCCACCGCCGAGTAGTGAGCGCTTGCACTGGGTCGGAATCATCATCCTGGACATCGCAGCTTGCAGTCATGGTCCTCGACATTCAGGCCATCAAGTCGGTTATGCGGACGGCGGTCTGAAAAGTTATGTTCTGGAGGACGTGCCTCTTGTCGCGCCAGCAAGCGCACCACTGCGTCTGGGTGACCTCGCGCCGTAGTACAGTCGTAGAATCATCTATCTACGGGTAGTTCCATGCAAAATCACCTGGCTTGGCCATCACTATCAGATCCGTTCGAAGCACCTCAGCATAGTTCCTCGCGCTCCTCGACCTCCGGCAATAATCCTGCCGATCGATCCCGAGCACCCACGGAATCGATGATGGATGCAGGCGAGCGTCTGCCTGTGGCGTGGGGCGCCAGGCCGACAGCTGCGCAGGTTATAGTTGACTGGAGGATGTTCCCGGGCATCGCCGTAAACATCAGCGCTCTTGAGTGTTCGTCCATGATCCAGGACCCGTGCAGCGTGCATGCTATCGCGAGAAAAGGCAGCAATGACTATGTATGTGTGCGATTCCTTACTTTGTAGTTTCCTGCACGACCGTGATTTTATGGAAAACAAACGCGTACAGTACATACTTCGACACACCTGTTTACCGGTATGTGCAGGGACGACGTCGCCATGGTCACGTATCGTTTCGATGTAGGCCGACTCTACAACAAAACTACAAAATAGCTCTACACAGTCACCATGGTCACCACTACAGACTGTCAGTACAGACTACAGCCACAGCTAGTACAGGCTGCTGAGCTGACCTGGTTTAGCTCGGGTCCGATGGGATGCCATTTTATTAGTATTACTACTAGTTCAGCTTCAAAGTAACTTAGTTCAAGGCTTCAGCAGACGTTCAGGCGGTTCAGCAGGGGCCACAGGTACCATGGGTACAGGACCGCGGTACCGGTTGCGGGCGCCGAAAAGTTTGGTGAGTGCTATTACTACTTATGACTCCTGCTACTAGTAGATCTACCGGTAGTACTAGTAGCAGATCTACCGGTAGTACTAGTAGTAGATCTACCGGTAGTACTAGTAGTAGATCTACCAGTAGTACTAGTAGTAGATCTACCGGTAGTACTAGTAGTAGATCTACCGGTAGTAGTAGTAGTAGATCTACCAGTAGTACTAGTAGTAGTCTTGGCTACTCGCTGAAGTGAAGCTCTTCAGAACAGTAATCCGAGTAGCAGAGGAGCAAAGACGACGCGAGCGCCAGCTTCAACCAGGCTGAGCTGAACACAACCATTCTGACCTCTGCTACCAGTGACCACGGTGACTGAGTGTAAGCCGTTGGCTGAAGAAATAATACACCTTTGGTCCCCAAGCAAGCGGTTATAAGCTGCAACGAGAGCAAATGGTATGAGAAGTAGCAGTGAAGTGATAGAAGGCAAGTGCTAGCAGATAGGGTGAGGTGCGAAAGAAATGAGCGCAACAAGTGCGAAAAAGCAAGGTGCAAACTATTGGCGTATACCTTTTGCCAGTTTTGGGCATGCGACTTGGCACCTCCATACAGGTTTTCGTTAGCCAAAAAAAAAGAAAAGAAAGAAAAGAAAGAACTGTTAGCCAGATTCGTGGCCGCATCACCTGACTGACGTGTTGAGGAACATGCCGTAACAGGTCAGCGACAAGACTTAGAGCTAAATGAAGCCATAACCTGCATTTGCCATTATGTCCACTCAGCAACTCAGATTGATGCTAGCTCAGTTCCTTGCAACCACACGGCATACACACACACACACACACACACACACACACACACACACACACACACACACACACACACACACACGTGTGCACGCAAATACACACATCTCTATACACACCCTTATTGGTTGCACCTTTCCTTTCTGTTCTTCTTTCTCCCTTTTTTCCACATGTACCAGCAATATTTGCCACTTCAGCGCGACCGTCTTAGCGCGATACATTTCAGCGCCAGCACGTCAGCGCCTGATTTCACAACGCCATGACTATCAGCGCGGTAAAGTACAGCGCCAGCAACTCAGCGCGAAAAAGTAAGGTGCGGTAATTCACAGCGCGATAAAGTACAGCGCGATCAAGTCCAGCTCGATCAAGTACAGCGCGGTACAGTTCAGCGAGATAAAGTACAGTGCGATACAGTACAGCGCAAAGTCAATACTTGAAAGTTAGTTACAGGCATAGTCACCACAGGCGATGTTCATACAAACATTGTATAATGAATTGGCGCTGAGAAACATGGCACTTACTTAGATCTATGGCGCTGAGAAACGGTTGCGCTGACATATTTGGCGCTGAAATATATGCCGCTGATTTATGTGGCGCTAAGATATTCGGTGCTTATCTGCTGGCGCTGAAGTATACGGCGCTGAAGTATACGGCCCTGAAATATGTGGCTCTGTAAAATTCGGCACTTAAATGTATGTGCATGGCGCTGAAACGGTCGCGCTCACCTGGTTGGCGCTGAACTTGAGAGCGCCGACATGGCATGCAATCAATCCATCATCACATGCAGCAGAGTTCACGAGAGACAGAAGTGGAAAGGTGGGTACTGCTGCCAATGCCAGATGTCTACACGATGTCATGAGCTCAGTTCTATTGTTCTATAATACATGTGCGGCAGCAATGCTATCTAGATTGATACTGGAATGCTTGGAACGCTACATGAAGACACTCAGAACAGAGCAGTGGATAAAAGAAAGTAGCCTACATGTATGCATTGCGCATTGAGCACCTATCATCGAACATGAGTTATGTGCCTATCGCCGGCGCCTGCTGTCTTACATTTTTTTTATTACTTTTTTTTTACTTTTTTTTCCTCTCTGCCCACTCTGCCTGTCTTCTGGCACATGCGAATACGTGGACTTACTGTTGACGTTAACGCGGACGTGCGTATAATTATAATAATAATAAGCCTACATGTACATCTTTTGATCGAAATATTAGAGAGGTTCCGCATAACGTAATTATTACGTTAGTAAAAAACGTACTAGTAGTCGATCTACGGAAAGTCTTACGTAAACTGCATGCGCATCTGTGTTCCGCCATACGGAGTTTTCAAATCACGTAGCTGCCCTTGGCAACTCCGAACGCGGCAGTGTACGACCAGATCGACCTGGGAAGAAAGTCATAAATTTGTACCCCAATCCATTAGCTACGTTATCAGAGCCCTATCTACGTACTCTCCGTAGACAACTTTCCGTAAGTGGAGTGCAAACTCGCGAATTCACGGGTTTTCCCCGCCCACTAACGTAAAGTTGCTCAACTTTACGTAGTGCGGAACCTCTCTATTGTCATACATGCTTCGGAAAAAGCGAAATAGGGCATTCAGACGGATTCAAAGCGCTCTGCGTTTGATATTCATCAGCACGTCACATCCACAGAAAAAAACACGCAGAGAAGTATACGTTATACAAATGGATAGCTTTTAAAATTTAAAAGATAGTTTATTTTAATAAACACTGTAGCTACCAATGACTCTACTTGAATAAATATTAGAATAAAAGTTGATCAAAATTTTGTGTTTTGAGTACAGTTAAACTCAGAGGAATGGAATTAAGAACTCAACATTGTATTCTCCCGGGAGAATCGCATAAAATAGCCAAAACATAATTATTTGGGTTTGATGAACTTGTGCAGAAAACGACAACTTTAACAAAAACATCAAAAGGTATAATGATGGTTGCTCTGTCACAAAGGAAACATACAAACTCCAACTTTGCTCTGTCACACAAGGACATGCTTAGAAACATACAAACTCCAACTTTGCTCTGTCACACAAGGACATGCTTAGAAACATACAAACCCCGACTTTGAGTTTGGACTATAGTTTTTGTAGAGGTAGAAGAGGGAAGAGCGGCTATAAAACATAATCAATAATATTGCTTGCCGTAAATAGTTTCTTGTCTCCACACACATCAGTTGAAATTTTAAAAAATGACAGCAAGTGTGTAGTGTAGAGTGCATGGGATCATTCCGGTTGCTGTTGCACGCCATGCGGCTGAGCTGCTACACTGCTCTCAAGCTTGAAGGACAAGGATGGTCAGTGGCTTTGCGGTGCTCTGGCTTGAGTTTGGACTTGACTGTGACACGAGTCTCAGCCGACAAAGCACGGAGTGCCTTGTACATAATTATATTCCGGGGCTGAGGCATCTGTGCGCAGAAATAGTCGAAGACCAGGTCGAAATTTCGGTTTTGACGCTTCTGACTGCTGGAAAACCCATTCCCGCCGACTGCAAGTGCCTCACCACTACAAGCATGTAGTATAGGCCGGTCTGGTGCCTTGCCATTATCAGCATAGGACAGTATGATCAGGGGACTTTCCCTCCACCCCCAAAGCCCGGCCACATATCACATGTGCTCACTCACACGTCGACGGATGGGAAGCGGCAATCCGATTTCAAGAAGCACTGCCCTGCTTGCAGCTGCCAACCCTATTGACTGACATCATGTTTGTCTCGTCTTGCGGCCCACTGTTTCAACACCATCCGGCGTCCCACGTACCGTTACGTAGCGCTGGGTTGCATTTAGGGTCTACTCGGCTGTAGTGGATGCCCATCGGGTCCACATAATTTGTCATGTACTCGTCTACTCTTCTGTCCAGCGCCGCAGCCACTCCTGGCAACTTGGCGTACAGGTTGCTCATCTCCAGGGGATCAGCTATTGGCGGAACAAACACAAGATACGGACAGGTTAGTGCCCTGATCAAGGTATGCCCCCCCCCCCCCCGTGCATAGCAGGTAAGTGCCCTGATCAAGGTATGCCCCCCCCCCCCCATAACAGTTAAGTGCCCTGATCAAGGTATGCCCCCCTCCCCGCATAGCAGGTAAGTGCCCTGATCAAGGTATGCCCCCCCCCCATAACGGGTAAGTGCCCTGATCAAGGTATGCCCCCCCCCCTCCCCGCATAGCAGGTTAGTGCCCTGATCAAGGTATGCCCCCCCCACATAGCAGGTTAGTGCCCTGATCAAGGTATGCCCCCCCCCCTCCCGCATAGCAGGTTAGTGCCCTGATCAAGGTATGCCCCCCCCCCCATAGCAGGTAAGTGCCCTGATCAAGGTATGCCCCCCCCCCCTCCCCGCATAGCAGGTTAGTGCCCTGATCAAGGTATGCCCCCCCCCTCCCCGCATAGCAGGTTAGTGCCCTGATCAAGGTATGCCCCCCCCCCCCCCCTCCCCGCATAGCAGGTTAGTGCCCTGATCAAGGTATGCCCCCCCCCCCCCATAGCAGGTAAGTGCCCTGATCAAGGTATGCCCCCCCCTCCCCACATAGCAGGTTAGTGCCCTGATCAAGGTATGCCCCCCTCCCCCCCATAGCAGGTAAGTGCCCTGATCAAGGTATGCCCCCCCTCCCCACATAGCAGGTTAGTGCCCTGATCAAGGTATGCCCCCCTCCCCCCATAGCAGGTTAGTGCCCTGATCAAGGTATACCCCCCTCCCCCCATAGCAGGTTAGTGCCCTGATCAAGGTATACCCCCCTCCCCCCATAGCAGGTTAGTGCCCTGATCAAGGTATGCCCCCCCCTCCCCGCATAGCAGGTTAGTGCCCTGATCAAGGTATGCCCCCCCCCCTCCCCACATAGCAGGTTAGTGCCCTGATCAAGGTATGCCCCCCTCCCCCCCCCCCCATAGCAGGTAAGTGCCCTGATCAAGGTATGCCCCCCCCCTCCCCACATAGCAGGTTAGTGCCCTGATCAAGGTATGCCCCCCTCCCCCCATAGCAGGTTAGTGCCCTGAACAAGGTATACCCCCCTCCCCCCATAGCAGGTTAGTGCCCTGATCAAGGTATACCCCCCTCCCCGTATAGCAGGTTAGTGCCCTGATCAAGGTACCCCCCCCCCTGTATAGCAGGTTAGTACCCTAATCAAGGTACCCCCCCCCCCCCCCCCGCATAGCATTACTACAGTGTGGCAATGTTAGCACACAGTACAGGCCCGGCGAAACCGGTCCGGTTTGTCAGGCCATGGCCAGACCAACGTTATCGACACCAACATGTGTTTACTGCTGAGGAGGTCATGTGTATACCCTTCCATATCATACACAAACTGTATGAAATGCTAGGGTATGGCGGGACCAATCAAAAACTGCTTCCGCTGGTCCTGCAGTAACCAAAATGATACATGTATGTTCTCTACAGCAGAATTATAGTCCTCTGTCCATGCAGCGGACAGGTGGTTCTTGACCAGGGAGTTGCACGACTCCTTGTTCTTGACCTGCCCGGTACGCGAACCCGTCGATTTTTTTGTCCATGCAGTGCTCAATACAGTGCCCAGTATAGTGCTCAAAACAGTGCTCAATACCACACAGGGCACAGCGCTTCCTCACAAATAAGGCAGAAGAGATCGCTACCACTAATTCACAGGCATATCAATGTTTCGTATTCCGTTGCACTCCACACACTAGCGCACGCTTGTCCCCTGCACGGCCATGCCAACGTCATGTGCGCACCGCGTGCAGCCTGGCAGACAGTTCTGCCGAGCGTACACAGTATACAAGCGCCGTTTGCCTACTCGGGGTAGATTTTTATACACCGGCACGCGCCAAAGAAGTCATAAAATGAATGGTGTGTAATCGAATGCAGCCACTACTTCGGCATACTTACCGTCAAGATCAAAGAGCCAGGGACCGGTCTCAACCTTATGCGTGATGTTTTCATAAAAATGGAGCTCACGATAGAACGTCACAAATGTGGCTTCATCAACTGCTGCCGGGTACCAGAGATTCAATTTCGTGTTTTCTGATGGAGGGAGAGAGAGGGAGAGAGGGAAAAGTGGGTCATTGAAGTGGCCGAAAATTAGCCACAGCATACAGATGGTCCTTCTCATACAAGGACTTTTTAAACGCCAAAATTAAACCTCTTTAGCAGGAGCACCCAATGGACCGATGGCATTTGTTCGCAGTAACGGCAGTTCTTCCTATCCATATTTTCCACCTTAGTGCTTCTCGTGTGCTCTAGATGGCAGTCGTGTGTCAGTCAAGTGAGAATTCAAGTCGGCAGGAAAACCGTGAGCTCCCATGTAGGGAGCAACACACAATTCCCAAGTATCGCCGAAGTCGCACCAACCTCTTCTCCACAGTGCATCGAAGTCGACGCATTCTTGTACACCATCGGCTGGCAAAGGGTTATTAACTGCGTGATTTGCTCCGGCCGGCAAAGCCCACCAGTGTAAATCAGTGTTCAGAAACTGTCGGCGGTTCGGCTCTGAGGATTTTGGGCGCCTAGCAGACAAACGTAGCCAACTGGTGAGATGGTTATACCCCCAAATGCCCGCTCCGATGCAGGAAGAACTGGTCCGAGAGCAGAACAGTGACCACGGAATTTCCCCGAATATAAGTCGCACCTTTTCACACTAAAATTCAAGGGTCATAAAGTGGGCGCAACTTGCAATCGAGCATGAATTACTACTGCACTCAATATATCAAAACAATGTGCCCCAAACCTGAAAATGGGGGTGCGACTTACAATCGAGTGTGACTTATAACCGGGGAAATACGGTATCCTGTCAACCATAATACGCTCTCCAAACTCTATATTAAACTGTGCGTTGTTGGTGTGAACGGATCATGGCGAGCCAGAGAAGGAAGTTAGGGTGGTTGATTTTTGTTGGGTGACCACCTGGCTGGTGTGGTTGTGTCATAAGCAATATTGACAAGCAGCACAGCTCGCAGGGATGCGACATTTGTTACTGTGGTCCGGACGCGTGTGCAAGTACAGGGTATCAATTCTAGGGTAACACCGCACATACTTGCTGGGTGTTTAGAAGGATCTTTGCCTCTGATGTACTTGTACTTGCCCTCTCTGCCCGACAGTAGGTTTGTGTAGCACAGGACAACACATTGACACAGAACAACACACCGGCACAGCACAACACAGCAACACAGCACAGCAAAACACACCGACACAGCACAGCACAGCACACCACACCAACACAGTACAGCACAACAACACATGACAACACGGCAACACAGCACGCCGACACAGCGCAACAGAGAAGGCCATCTTAGATCACAACCACACCGGCGTCGAGAGACAGACTAGTAAATCGTTCATGTCACATGCCTGCCGCACCGCCCCTGCTTCCTCTGCTCACCATCTACATTATTCCTGCAAAGGAAGTTACTGCCGTCCCTATCCTGCAAACGTTCACATTCAACACTATGATCAAAACCGAAGTTCACTAGTATTGACATGCGGGTCATTTGCCTGACAAGTACCTCGGCGACAATCTGCTGGCTCGCTGCAATAATGAATATCCAAGCATGCACATACCAATAGAGAAATACTGGATGGTGCTATACTCTTTACATTTAACAGGCTGTGTTTAGTATTTTACAAGATCGTTCAAAACACACGCATATACGGTCTCTGAACAGCATTCAAAAAATGACGGCCCAGGGCCGAAATACTGATGGAGAATTTTTTAATTTTTTTTATTGCAGTTCAGAGGCCGTATATGCGTGTGTTTTGAGCAATCTTGTAAAATGAATTGGCTGCAATGGAGCCTGCGTACTTTGAAAAAAAGTTTATTATTACCAAGCTTTCCTCTTGTCTCTCTCTGGTCGTGTGTTTTCACAATATCATGTTGCATTGCATAAGACCGATAGAGGTGAGCACAGACAGCTTGGGTATAAGCAATACATCTTCAGGTAATATTCTCTCCATTTCTCATTTGTCAGCTGATACCAGCCCTTATATGCAATACAGCTAAACACCAAAAACACGAACGGTAGCGAATCTTTTAACTAGTTATGTTGGTACTCACCGGATGGCGAAAATGCCCCTGGTCCTGTCGAGCCGGTATGGGAAGCCAGTGCGCGGCGATGGCAAGTTGTTCCGCAATGCCGACCATTGGTCAACGCCGTCCACCTCCGAATCTACACGAAGCACCACAGCATCACCACAGCACGACTACAGCACCGTCATAGCACAGCACCAGCACAGTACCACAGCACGACGTCACCACCATGCCAGCGCCACACCACAGCACCACCATAGCATGACGTCACCGCAACATGCCAGCACCACAGCAGTGACAGCACCACCACAGCACGACGTCACCACAGTATGCCAGCACCACAACACCACCATAGCACGACGTCACCACACCACCACAGCACCACAGCTTCGAAATTCAATTTCGCCGGACTTGGGCTCAAATCCGAGTTTAAATGCGATCATCTTGGTCTATCACCTGCCTTCGTGGCTGCAGGGCGTCATATTTGCGGAAGAGACCTTGCCTGTCATTTCTCGACCGACGTCGCCTTTTATCAATGTAACCGCCTTCATTATCCATGTATTGGCCTATTCCGTGTTCAATATTGGCATGTTCTGCGGATTCGTAGGCACGCTTGGCAATTCTAATAATAATATCCTGCAATATTATTTCGTAGGTGCATGGCTACTACTTCATGTACTACAATATGTCTCAGAGGAAACTGTTTACTACAATATGTACATGACTTTAAAATAATAGCCGGCTGGCATGGTTCAATAACTTTCTTTTTCATAATTATGGCTTTTACGTCAAATGTTCCTTTACAATCTGTATCACAATGTGTGAGTTTGTCATGCACTCAGAAGACAGGTGCATGTATACGATTCATATTATCATTCGGGGGTTTTTGGACTTACTTCTCGATTGCATCTTGCCGTGCGAGGTTTAAAATATATCAGTGGCAATTTCCGTGGCAATTTCATGGCTGTTGACTAGTACACAACATTACGCTTACCGCCAAGATGGCCGCCAGCAGCGGAGACAAGAGTCGGGTACCAGTCCGTCACGTGCATTATCCTGCAGGCAGCACAATACACAGACGCAATTGGGAACATCTCCAGACCAGGCGTGCCCGTGCCTGCCAACTGTGCCCACGGTGTACGGGCTTGGGCTCTGTGTACTTCAACTGCTGGGTCAAAAAAAGGTGAGTCGTTATATCCCTACTCTTGTTTTTTTTGCACAAATTAGCAGGTCTGTATGTGTGGGTGAGTGCAAGCTCTTCTTCCTCCACACGACTCTGGGTCTCCGTATGGAGCAAACTCGGCACCGTACTGGCACGATGAGAGAACATTTTGCAAAAAATCATCTCAGCAACGTTCCATGGTACAATGATATCTGCCGGTTGGACATCACAGCACAGTAATGGTGTTACCTGTGTTTCTGCTTCACATAAGGCACTGGGGAGGAAGGGACCAGGGCATAAGAAAATACTTGGTGAAACAGGAGTGATTCGGATAGGGGAGAGGGGGGGGGGGGGGGTGTCCGGAGGCAGTGGGTTGGGGGTCCAGTGGGTCCAGGAAGAGGGGAGGACAGTAGGTCCATGGTACCAGTGGTCCGGTTGTCCAGTGAGCTCAGGAAGAGGGGAGGGCACATGGGACCAGTGGTCCCGGGGTCCAGTGGGTCCAGGACGAGGGGAGGGCAGTGGGTCCATGGGACCAGTGGTCCGGGGGCCCAGTCGGTCCAGGAAGAGGGGAGGGCAGTAGGTCCATGGGACCAGTGCTCCGGAGGTCCAGTGGGTCCAGGAAGAGGAAAGGGCGTGGGTCCATGGGACCAGTGGTCCGGAGGTCCAGTAGGTGGGTCTAGGAAGAGGAAAGGGCGTGGGTCCATGGGCTGGAACAAATTTACCGTATCCGGGTATGAACGAAAGAATAAATTGGGATGGCGAGACATTATCAATCACATGTTCGTGTATAACTTTGGCTGGAACAATAGAGGCAAGTGCTGCCTTAAATGTCTTCATCTTTTATTGAGAGTCCAGCCATAGGGTTAGACGAGAAGGCAGAATGCCTGTGTATCGGGTGAAGTAAAAACAAAAAAAACAAAAAATAATGTCCGCCAAAAAATGTTCGTCCCTCCTACCCATTGTGGGTGTGTTTGGTTTTTCCAAGCATCTTGCCGTGGACGAACCCTGGACTACGGGTGCCACCTTCCCACACCGTTCCCTTGTTGCCCCGTAGAGGGTAGTTGCTGCCGCCGTAGCGCACCTGCGCTCCGTTCTGCACACCGGCAGAAGACAGCACAGCAGAGGCAGGCGTACAGGCACGGCTGTGAGCAGGCAATACAATGCTAGGTATGCTTTTGTGACCAGTGGCAACGTTTTAAACCACATGTATTCGCCACACACACAGTACCACAGAGGAACAAGGTCAGTTTGTTGCCACTCAGAGGGATTCATGCCCATATCTGTGCAATCATAGGGCAATATATTTTGCAAGCATTTCCCAAGATGTGCACTTTTTAAGGGAAAGCATTTTTTAAATGGATTTCGTCCACGACGTGAAGTTCATTAGAAGAGAAAAAAGACGATCACACGATCTTACGTCGGAAGTGAAGACGACAAGCGTGTTGTCCCAGATGCCGCGCTTCTTGAGCGCCTTTACAATGTTACCAACGGCGCCATCCATTGCAGTTGCCATGGCTAATCGCAAGCATGCATACAGACACATGCATGCACACACATGCACGCACACACGTACACAAGCACACACACACGTACACACACACACACACACACACACACACACACTCACCCACACCACACACATGCACGAGCGCACACATGCATACACGCACGTGTGCGCACACACACAGACACAGATACACACACACACACACACACACACACAAGCACACTATAATGATAGTTTTACGAATTCCCTTCATGCTAAGCCAATTATAAGCAAATTAATCTTTTAAACGCCTATGACTTTATCCATTTCGTACTAGGCAGCTGCCTGACAGTCCTGTGACGGCAGGATATGCGTAGTGAGCAGCTCTGTTTTTAGCTTTCACGTTCTTTTACTGCTAGTGTCTTGTTCCAAGCGCTTGTCACGTCGGTTGAGCAACACGCGCTGTCCCACGCAGGTGGTGATGATGATCCCATGCCGCCGGGACCCGGTAAGGTACGTTTTCGCGGTAACTAAGCTGTCATGCACTGGGCCATTATCAGACAGTTTTCAGTTAGAGCGAAAGCGGCCGACCGTCTCCTGGGGTTTTGTATACAGCTCTGCATGCTAGTGCATTGAGCACTCTTTCCAGCCGCCCTGACTGGCGCTGATCGGGGTCGTAGCTCTCACATCTGTGGTGTGGAGACCATGCACTGGAGCTAGGGGTGAAACGATTAGTTCGAATATTCGAGTATTCGTTCGAAAATTTCAAACGAGCGAGTATTCGAAATTTTTCACTCGATCGGGTTTTTTTTAGTTCATCTATTGGCATTCCATTTTTCAAAAGCTTTTGTTGCACCGCTCGTCCACTGGTATGCATGTGTTATGCATGCCTTTGAGTCAGTATTTCATGACTTGGACGATGCGATCACCACGGCAAGTAACATTAGTTATGACTTGTGAGATATGAAAGTACTGATGAAAATCGTTACTTTACACTCTGTACAAGACGTTGGCGACTTTTGTTCTATGTTCACAGATAATTTCTTCCGGATTGGTCAATAACTCACAAATTTAGCGCTTTTGAATTTTGATAAAATACTCGAAATAATCGGATACTCGATCGAATATTACGAATGAGTGATCGATTGGTCAAACTTGATACTCGTTTCACCCCTAACTGGAGCATATCTGTGGTCTGGTGACCATGTACCACCAGCAAACTCATACCACTTGTAGTAGTCGGCATTTTGTTTCTTTGGCCTACAGTGAAACCTGTCAAGGCGACCACCTGTCCAAGAAGACCACCTGTCCAAGAAGACCACCTGTCCAAGAAGACCACTGAAACCAGGATTGAGGGATGCTATTTCCAGTCAAATGAACCTGGATAAGGAGACCACCTGGTAACAGAGACCACGTATTGAAGGCGCCTTGAGCGGTCGTCTTAGACATGTTTCACTGTATGCTGTACCTATAACAGCCGTATACAGATGTGGTGACCGTACTATGCTGAGTATACCTGTACACGAGCTACTAGTACGTGCCTACGGATTGTGTGTACACGATAGATACGCCAGCAGCTCTATTCACCAGCTGACCTACAGTACCTGAGACAGCTCGACGGTTGTGCCAGGCCACGTCCTTGAACATTTTCCAGTAGCGCTGCGGCGCCTGCAAGACAACACCACGAAATCAGCGCACGTCACCGAAGAGTGCTGCAGCAAGAGGGAAGTCCTTTGCATGTGCATCGCCTTGTGCTCAAGAGTTCAGCTAAACTTCCTGTGCCATTCCCTGAAATTGGATGAACCCCCTCCCAATGGCGTTTCGGATTTTGCAACAAATTCCGCAGGGTAAGCCACGCCCCCCCCCTTCAGGTAGAACTATTTTAATTCTGGTAACAGAGAAAAGACCCCCTTGTCTTGGTCTTTTCTACGCAACTATTCTAATTCTGGTGAAAGAGGGTAGACACACTCCCCCCCCCCCCCTTTGTCGGGGCCTTCTGTGTGCGACTATTCTATTTCTAGTAACAGAGGGCAGACCACTCTCTCTCTCCCCCCACCCCTCACCCACCCCAACCCCCCACCCCCCCCCCCCCCACCCCTGTTGCGTGCCCTTTGTTGAATGTTTGCAGTTGGCTACCGGGCCTGGAAAATTATTCTTGTAACCATAACTGCATCACAAAGACGATCACTCTTACGGCAAGGCATCACCTTGCTTAAAACCAACATGTGACTCCACGTCAACAGTCACTTCGGCATACCGCTGTCTGTCTGGGCTTGCTACATTGGTATGGCACAGGGCAATCTTTACCACAGGAACACTTAAAAAACACCAAGCCAAGCTCACAACAGTTACAAGGCGGGAACAGACTCCATGTTGCTTTTAGCGGGGACCAGTGCTAGTAGATGCCGTATGTTCACACTGGCGTTTTAACCCTTTAGCATCTGACCTAAATTCCAACGCCGTTCTGTGTCAAGAGGTCGAAACGTACGATCTCAGCAATACTTCATTTTAGCTCGTTGGCACCTGTTGCAATGGAAAGCTGAGCTCTTTGGTTTCTTCCTGGATACTTCGTTTACAGAATTCCGTAAAGAACTGACCGACTTACGAATGTTTGAGTGCATGCAACTGCATCGTCCACTAGTAATCGATTCAAGTACACACAAACGTTGATGGGTTAATACACGTACAGTAGAATGCTCACAAACATCTACTGTACAAGCCATACATTGTATATATAATGAAGTGCTAACTCTAACGAGTTATACGAGGAGAAATCTGTCGTTAAAATAGAAAGAGTTATACAGAAATCGATACATATACTGTCCTATTGAGCGTTGAGAATGAGTGAGAATCGTTACCTTTGGTACACGTAAACTAGCAATTTTGGGAAATCGTTATATATGCGCCTCGTTAGAATAATGGCTTTTACAGTATCCGCTGCGGCGTCTCAAAACTAAGTAGGTAAGGCTCACCTGCAGTGGAGCATGTATTGCCTGGAACGCGAGATAAATGTAGAGAGGAGTAGACGTGCTGTGCTTTTTCACAATGCTAATCGTTTCCTTGGCAAACGCTTCCTGTCAGCACAGAGCAGATGCGTGTGCACACACACACACACACACACACACACACACACACACACACACACACACACACACACACACACACACACACACACACACACACACACACACACACACACACACACATACATACATACACACACATGCACATGTACACACATGCACACAATCACATGCACACAATCACATGTACACACATACACACACCCCAACATACACACATACAAACTGACAGACAGACTCACAGACAGACTCACAGACAGACACACACACACACACACACACACACGCACATGTACATACAAAGTCATCCTTACCAAAACATTTCGTGCCATTGGGACATTGCCAACTCCAGCAGCGAAACACAGGTCAGTATGCCAGAAATTGAAAAAAATATCGCAATTCGGATATAATAATATTCGTTGGTTCAAGGGAAAGATGCAAATGGGAAAAGTCATTCGGATATAATTGGAGAAAGGAGCAAGAGTTCTTAAAGGGGAAGTTCACCCTAAAATCAAAATTTCACAGTTTGTAGATTTCGAGGCGCTGAGTTCGGTGGTGAAGGTCCCATCGCCGTGCGATACGCCGTTCTGGAGATATTTGAAGTTGAAATTTACCATGACGTCATGCAAAATGACGTCATGCGGCCGGCGCACACCCCCTCCACACCCTGTGACGTCAAAGAGATACAGGTTCCCGGTCTGCTTGCTTTTCAGTGAGCGAGAAAGAGTGGCGTTTGTGGAGTTTCTTTCTTGCGACCTGAACAGTTTCAACCACGATGACGGTTTGCTGTGCTGTCGGCTGCTCTAACCAGTCTGGCAAGCCCCCTGGGACCACGGTGCATCGTATTCCGCGGGATAAAGCTCTCCGAGCGGAATGGGTTGCAGCGATTCATCGCGAGAATTTGCCACCTAAGTTTGAGGAGAGCTGTGCAATTATTTGTTTGGCACATTTTGAGGAGATGCCTTCCAGAGGAACTTGCACGGAGAGATGGGCAAAACGTGCCGCCGAAAGCTGAAAGCAGACGCTGTGTCATCGATTTTCCCGGACAGGTGTCCCCCAGCGAAGCGAAGGATGTCGCAGTATCAGGAGAGGCAGGAGAGAGAAGAGGTGAGTGAATGGTTCTGGTGATTTCGTGCTTTGAGAGCGTGTTGAAATTTTGTCTGTACATCGCGAGTTGGAGAGGCAGTTTCACCCACTGTGTTGAGTACATCGTATACTTGTAGAGAAAATTATTTACAGATACCGGTACAAAGCTGTTTGCAGTGTGTTGATTGCAAGGTACTAGTATTGAATGAAGACAGAAGATCGTGCAATAAATTTTTGTTTTATTTCAATTCAAGTTTTACATGTCGTGAAAAGGCATACAGTGGTCACTACCTCTGTCCTCTGCTTGGTAAGTTTCAATTCCAAGAAAGTCTTCATTGTGTTGCATTGTCACTGTTATCTGCGTGTATTTTGCGAGTATGATCCTAGCTCAAGCCTATGCTGAGCCGTATGCCGCAGCTTTTCGGTCTCCAGTTGCATGCGCATTGAGTCCAGACGATGGCATGATATCTGCTGATGCGTGCACACAGACCCCCGTCAGCACACGGGAAATTTAGAGGTGATGTTATGGTACCCACTGTGTAGATCAAATCCACACGTACATATGCTTGCAACACTGGCAGTACATTTTCATGACTATTCTTTTGCTATAAACACACACGCACGCGCGCGCGCGCGCAGACACACACACACACACACACACACACACACACATTTGACCTTTGACGCCAATCGCCGGAGGCAATGATGGCAATGCTACGGCAGAAGCCATAGCAACTTGTGCTGGAATTGCACCATTCAACAGCTTGCAAGGCTGAAGAATTGACCGTCACAATTCACTGTAGTGTTTAAACCGAACACGGATTCTTCGAACGAATAATCTATCGAATAATTTCGCCCTCCATCGAACGAATAATCTATATTCTATCATACGCATGATGGCATTTTTCAACACTTTTTCAGCACTTTTTAAGTAGTTAAAAAAAAACAATTTGCTGATTATCGGATTTTGTTATGTGGAGGTGCCAAGAGTACCCCCAGAGTGTGCGACGCCTGATCCAGCTCTGCATAGGGTATTGGTCGAAAGTGGTCAAAGACCGAAAATCACATTCACTGCATCCATGTTTCCCTCGTATGGAGAGAACAGAAGTACATGTATTACTAGATACCGATAGGAGATTAAAACTTGGAGGAGAAGAAATTGAGAAGAAATACTGCGAGCAGATCTACGCAGTGCAAATATCAGTAGGGTCAGCACTGAGCAAAGATGGTTTTTTTGTTTTTTTGTTTTTTTCGATTTCTGATAATTCCTACGACTATTCGATTATTCGTTCACCCACTAATATTCTAAATTATTCGATTATTCGATTATTCGTTTCAACACTACAATTCAGCCTGGTCTACACCATACAGATACACACACACACACGTGCAAGCACCTGGCTGACTACAAAATTTAATAGTGACAGCTTATGATTGCTGTGCCGTTTGTCCATTAATGCATTATGCAGGTGTTCCACCGGACTCCTCGGCCAAGTTTTCCGAACATCAGCCATATGTATTGTCGGTATGCTGCGTAACGGTGCGAGCTGCTTTGGGGAACAGGGGAGTAGATCTTCCTGCTGTTAGTCTCACATTTCAACGTACATTTCAGTGCAACAGCAGCACACTACAACAACAAATTTTTGAAGAAGTATACAAGCCAATATCCTGGTTATATTTTTGCACCATGGAACAGTATTTAATTTTGATGAGAAAATACAGTTCTCCGATGCAAAATCGACGACAGTATTACACTATTTAATAGCACGTACCGGTTTCCAAACTCAGATGGCTTCGATCCGGCCTGCTGATGGATCTTGCCCAAATAGCCACGCAGTACAATGTACAGTGCGTGCTGGTTGCTGCAGCCTTTCTCGAACTGTGAGGTGCAAGTAATGCAGCCAGACTCAGTAACCAATCCGCGGCTGCCGATTCCGGAACATCTTTGCAGCAAATGCAGTCGTTCCGCAATAATTGAACGACGCATTTGCCACATTCACACCAGGACGTATTGCCAACGCGATCGGCAGGTGGCCAGCAGTCCTCTAAGCAAGCAGCAGGGTCAGTGTCGGCAGCAGCCGCTGCAGTTTCGTCAGCATTTACACCAACTTGCTCCGCACTCGCCATCTGCATGATCTCATCCTCGGTATACTCCTGTTCCTTCGCTGGCGTCCAACTCGCTCTCCTCGGAGTCACTGTCATCTCCTGACAAGGAGGTAGACCTACCCTGAATCGTCTCCGCTCTGAGCCTCATACTGCTTGACTTTCCGCCTTGGACATTCACGACTTCACTTTCTTCTCCGTCCAACTCCAGTAAAAGTTCCGAGCTCCAGGAGCTCCTCTACCTCTTTGACGTCACAGATTCGTGACGCCATGGCGGCGCCAAAAACCGGGGATCAAAGTGATATTTCAGTTGCGTATATCTCCGGTTATAGTCACCGGATGAAGACGAGACATACACCAATCGACTCAGCTGATTTTTCCCAATAACATATCTGATTTTGATTTTAGGGTGAACTTCCCCTTTAACTTACAACCATCAGTCTACCAACTGAACAAGAAAAATCAATGAGTAGTCATGTAGTGCGACAATCGGACAATGTGTGTGTGTGTGTGTGTGTGTGTGTGTGTGTGTGTGTGTGTGTGTGTGTGTGTGTGTGTGTGTCTGAGCCCGTGCTCGAGCTTGCTGTCAAAGATATGCTATTTTCTTTGTTGTACGTTGCTCTGTGGCAAAGTAAGACCCTATAGACCCTGTAAACTACGTATGTACTGTAGATCCAGTAGACCCTGTAGAACCCACAGACTCTGTAAACTCCGTAGACACTGTAGACTCCATAGACTCTGTAAACCCCGTAGACCCTGTAAACCCTGCAGACCCTGTAAACCCCGTAGACCCTGAACACTCCATAGACGTTGCAGATTCACTAGACCCTGTAAACCCCGCAGACCCTGTAAACCCGTAAACCCTGTAAACCCCGTAGACCCTGTTAACCCCGTAGACCCTGTACACACCATAAGCCATGAAGACCCCGTAGACCCCCACAGACTCTGTAGACCTCGTAGACCCTGTAGACTCCGGAAACCCTATAGATTTTGTACACCCTTTAAATCCCAGACATACTAATTATTACAAGTAATCACAATTCATACGGGCTGCATTTTTGTTGTAAAATGACGATTGTAGTTACTTGGATGCGTCGGTGTTAGGAAAAATATTCATAAGGTTGACGAAGTTGAAACAGGAAAAAGCAAGACTTTCCAGCATTAGCGCGTACGCACACACGCGCACACGTGTGTGTGTGTGTGTGTGTGTGTGTGTGTGCGTGTGGCGCAGGAGCTCAATATACAGGTTTGACTTACAGTCGAGTAGACTCCTTCTGCTGCTCGGTCTATGCTGCGTTTCTCTCCGATGTCATGGTGAAAATCATAACCACTGAATACTGACAACATTAAACGACGAGCATACACACAGACACACGTATACACACATACACACACACACAAGTGTACACACAGACACACAAGCGCAAACACACACAAACATGTGTACACACATGTACACAGACATGCACAAACACACACACACACACACACACACACACACACACACACACACACACAGTTCAGTCACTCTAAACCCACAACCGAACTCTACTTTCCAAACTGGTAGAAGATGTTGAACATGAATTCACAACACTGACAAATGTAGATACGCTGACAAACCGAACTGAGATTAGAACTGCATGATCGGCTGTAAAAATGTCGTGAGCGGAAAATTACTGGAGTTGTGATAGTCTGTACCCGGTGATAGGACTAACACAATGTCATTGTAAATGGGTGAAAAGGGATTAAAAAAAGGCAGGAATCCCCTCCGTCCGTCCGTCCGTCCATAAGAACCCGTCCTTACCCTCTGCTTTGGCACCGTCGCCATTGAAGTGTGTGTAGTAGTCTTGACTACCACCATAGTAGCCGTAAAATGAATCAAACCCGCGCGACGTCGGCAGGAACTTCTCATTGCAATATCCCAGATGCCACCTGTGGTATTAAAGTGAAGAGCACAGTTCGAAATAAACACCGTAAGGAACCCATCTTTAAGTGATGCTACACACAGGCAATTCATGGCCTACAGTCTCTTCATCGGAAATGATATCACTGGCTATTGAAAGATTCGTGCCGAATCGAGGCTCAATAGGACAAATACACATATACATATACACACACACACACACACAAACACACACACACACACACACACACACACACACACTTGCAAGCACACGCAGAAGGCACACGGCGTATTAAGACCTCACTTTCCGATGGCGTGCGTTGAGTACCCAAGCTGCTTAAGACGCTGCGCTATGGTCAGCATACTGGAGTTCAACCCGTATGGCTGGCAATGATGAAGGACATTCTGTCAGCAGCATTAATCAAGACAAGTGACACGATAAATTATATGTAAATATCCTTGTTTAACTTTGGTTCGGTATGCACTTCACTATAAAGCTATAGATTCCAGTCATTCCACTCTTTTCTAATAGTCAAACACGTCATGCCACAACGTACTCCATTGCCCATGAATAGTGCAACATACAGTATTTGTCTCACTATAATTATGACGTGTGAAGCCCCCCCCCCCCCCCAACCAAAAGTGCAAAATCTACCTGTCTTTGTCGTATCTGTTACCTGGCAATCACACAAAGGAGAATCCGGTTCCGTTAGGCAACCAGTACTCACAAGAACCACTCCATCATGTAGTAGCCAGAGCGCAAAACAGGTTTTACTTCACTGAAGGTGACCGAATGCAAAACACTAGATACGGCAAGACGTTTTAATAGTATGGGGACATGATGGGAATAGCGGCAAGAGAGCGAGAAAGAGAGAGAGAGAGAGAGAGAGAAAGAGAGAGAAAGAAAGAAAGAGAGAGAGAGAGAGAGAGAGAGAGAGAGAGAGAGAGAGAGAGAGAGAGGTGTGCATGGCTAGAGAGCCGGTACTCTCAATTACCTGGAAACCCGTGTGGTGAGCATAGCGTCCGGTCATCAGACAACTACGAGAGCTACAGACACACATACACACACACACACAAGTCAATAAGCCACAATGTGTGTCTTTATAACATGCATAACACTCATATTCTCAAAGGCACCGTTACAGTTCGTAAGTTGTCCCTTTACAACGAGGAGAAGAAGACAAAGTTTAGCACTGTGGGTTGGTCTACTTAAGTAAGACCATGATTGTGAAACAGGAGGTACCAGGGTAAATGTTCCAACCCAGCTGAGACCCACAGTGAATTAGGCACTTTGTGACCTGCATGGCACAAGGGTAACACGGAGGCGGCAAGTGGGATTTCGGCCTTTGGCATCTGGCTGATGGATCTGATCTAGCCCCCAGCCCTTGTCACATGACAAAGATGTGAAGCCACTCTTGCCGCCAGAAAAGAAAAATAAGTCATGCTGTGAGCGTACAAGCAGTACACTGGAAAAGTGGGACAGTGGGTCCTTTACCGCCAACTTGCCTGCAAGCTCGTACTGTAACACCTGACAAGGCAACCAACCACCTATTCCAGAGGACCACCTGTTCCAGAGGACCACCTGTTCCAGAGGACCACTATAGCGAAGACCAAGGGTGCTATTTCCGCTCAAATTATTTGAGGGATGACCACAGGCGAGTAGCCTATCGAGGGAAAATGACACTGGATGAGGAGACCACTGTAAATAGCAAACACATTTTTGAAGGTCCCTTGAGGAGCGGTCGCCTTGGACAGGATTCACCGTAGCCTACGTGCGAGGACAAGCAGCTTACGGCGAGCAGGACGGCTGCACGTAGGATCGGTTCAGGATGACGCCGGAGTGCGCCAGCGCGTCGAGATTTGGCGTCCGCATGTCCTTGTTGTGAAAGCCGACGTCATTCCACCCTGCACAAGGCACATGTCAAAGGGTTGGAGTACACACGCATTACAAAATTGTACGACATTTTTGTTGTTGTATTTATTATTTTTCTAGAGCAATCCCCACCCGGCTTCCAGCCGAGTCTCACGCGAACCGTGAATTTTTTTTTTTTTAATCCCCACCAACTACAAGTCTTTTTATGGGTACCCTAGGAAACCTAGGAAAGTTTGTGAACAAATTTGAATGTGACACCTGTAAGACTCGTATTCATCTGATCTGTGCCAGGATGTGCCCTCACTACAGAATTCCCAACCCCTTTTGATTGGTGTCAGGAACAGTTGTTGGGACCGAAACAAACTGTACCGGAAAAAGTGTACGACGGGTGCCTCTCTCATTTAATATTGGCATTGCTTGCCACGAGATGATGATGCAATAGCAATAGTCGTGCAGGTAGCCGGGATTGGGTCTTGTCATCAAACCAGTGTAAATGCAGTGTTTGTAGTTGGATCATCCTCACAAGGCTGAATGTTTCTTCTTACCCTTCCAAGGGGCCGTTTACATGAGAACAATAAGCCCGGGCTTTTTCAAGCCTAGGCTTACGATAAGCCCGCCTTGATCTGTCACCTAGTAATTTTGGAGCGCGCGTTTACATGGTGAGACGGGCTTATTCAGCTATCCCCGAGCTGAACTAGCCCTGCCCTAGACCCCCGAGCTTATCCAACCCCCAGGGCTTATTTTGTCCTGTAAACGGCCAAGAATATAAGCCCTGGGCTTATATTCTTGGAGCGATTTTTTCCGTATTTTCAATTTTGCCTCGTGAACCTGAGAGGATGTCGCCATGGACAATGTGTACCTCTTGTTTCTTTCTTGGCAATTTTTCTTCTGATTTGTGTTTGGTGGAAAGTCCTAGCCGATCCTTCACCTTCTCGAAAAATAAGTGACAATAGCAAAGGCAGCAGAAGCGTGAGCCGGCATTTCTTGATCCGAATTTCATCATACACGAACATTTACTACTGTGTTCATGTGCGATTTGAAATCTAAAATGCACGCAGAACTCGCGGTCACTCACCTGAGCTAACTCAGCCCTGCACAACCGTCATGTAAACGGTTGAAAATTAAGCCCGAGGCGAATAAGCCCAGACTTATTATTGTTCTCATGTAAACGGCCCCTAAGCCAATGGCAACTTCGAAGATACATTTACACTGCATGATGGGCAAAAGGCCACGCACGCACACGCACACACACACCGTACACACACACACCGTACACACACGCGCGCGCACATAGACGGGTGTGGTGCATAACCGTAAAGCTTATCGGCCAAATCACTGGAACGTCTTTTAAATCACCGGGATATATTAAAGCTGTGTTCATAACTGGTGCTTTTACGCCTCGAAACGGCTCGTTCATGTGCATTCTGCTGCCTTTTGCGGCATCATGCACATGAAAACCCTCTGATATGGAAATTCTAACATTATTTTTTTCTGCGCGTTTCAGACGCGTACTTCCAAACATGCGGGGCACTTTGGCGGACTACGGTAGGGTCGCGCGCCCAAGAACGTTGTTTCGAAGTGGTTAGCCTGGGACGTTCTTATTTTTCAACAATCCGGCTGCGTTCTTATAGCACGTTTCTTAGAAACAGTCCGTACTGGATCATGTGTATTCCACAAGCTGCCAGAAAACCAACACCGCTGTTCTTAGAATTTCAGGCTGGACGTTCTTGGGCTCCACGTTCTTTAGCGCGCGACGCTACTGTACCAAACATTAGTACCGTACCCTCCCCATTAAACGTAAACGTCTCCACTACTAGTACGTCCCCAATAAGCCCATTGCGCATTGCCAAATATGGAAGGTATGAGTAATGCACGTGAGTACATTGGGATCAGGAATGCACTAAACACCCCAGACGACCATGCCCAGGTGGCTGTCCGGGGTGTTTATGGTACAAATTACGTCATTGCGCAATGGGCTTATTGTGGTACATGTTGGGTGTGGATCGAAAATATAAAAGGACACGTCTCTAATAATAGTACATGCCCAAATGATGTGATGAGCATCAGTGGGGTACAGCCACCACTCCCACCAGGGTCCACCTTACTTCGTTTTTCTTACCCGTTCATCATCTTTGTGCCTTTGTACACTGATTCTTACCATGGTCGAGTGTATTTACAGCCTTACAGCATCATTATCACGAGTTGTTTGCCACCCAACCCAGGCAATCAATCTTTCCAGAAGAAACAAAAGTACACGTCTCCAATACTAGTACAGTCTCCTATAGTAGTACTAGTACAGTCTCCTATAGTAATACTAGTACAGTCTCCTATAGTAGTACTAGTACAGGTCTGACCACCTTTGAAAAAATAAAAGTAGTGTACAATTATTTCAGGGAAAATACGGTACTTGATGGCGTCACCCGACCTAAAATGATGGTCGAATTGCTGCTTTTTGCAAAGCCTAGAACCATGTGATAACTTCTAGTAGTACCAGTAGGGGTAGGTTGCACTTTTTGAAGCTCCCGTAAATCTTTCTTGGTAGAGCCCAGCCGGCATCAGGCCGGACTGGAGGTAGTTTCCGTAGGGTAGCAGTAAGTGTTTCTAGTAGTGCTCGTAGAAATTGGTGACCTCCGCCATGCCTGGGGCCACCACGAGAGCAAACACTCGCGCGACTGCCCTGAGTGACGAAGAGCTGAGGCTGATGGCGTCTTTGCCGGGCATTGAGTTATCTGTAGTAGAAATCCTGAAAACATTGGCCGCACTTGTCTCGGAATCGGCTGATCGGGAGACGCGCCTAAACAAACGGGTTGACGAGCTGTCAAGGCAGCTCAAAGATGTGAACGAAGAGTTAGTGTCTCTCCGAGAATCCGCCATTGCCTTGCGAAAAGCTACCCCAAAGCCAGTTCAAACACAGCAGGGTACGGGTGCGGGTCAACCTTCGCGTAGGCGTACCAAAGCAGGCAGTACGGGTACAGCAGGTACTCGAAAGCATGACACCACGATGTCCCGTAGCGTCCCCAGCAACATTTCCCGTAGCGGTGACGAGTGTGAAGAGGATGGCAGCGTCCCCTGCAACATCTCCCGTAGCAGTGACGAGTGTGAAGGGGATGGCGACCAAGATGCAACCTGTGTAGACGAAGACAGATTCCAACCAGTCCAGAACTCAAAGCGGAGTAAGAAGCAGTGCGTGCTTCAGGTGATCTCAGATGACAGCTGGAAGATGGTGTCGTCAGAGCCTCCCAGGGCGAAGAAAGCTGTGCTGTACGTTGGCAACCTAGGCGACCAATGCACCAAGGAACGCCTCAGGGAGTTTGTGCAACACAGAGCAGCTGCGGTTGGGACATCTGTGGATGTGCACGATTGCAGTATGCACGAATCAGCAACGGGCAAAATCTCGGCGAGACTGACAGTTGACGCCGGAACAGTTTCTACAATTACCGCTGCAAACTTCTGGCCCCGGCCACTTTATGCCAGGCAATGGCGTTTCAAAGAAAGCAGTGGAGCACACCATGACAATTCTAGCCCACCTGCCAAAACTGATGACATCACCAAGTCTGACCCTCCTCCTCAGAACAATGATAGTCTCCCACCTGCCGACCCTCTCTTGAGCAATGACCAGTAAGACGTTGAAATTGCTGGTTACGAATGCCTTTGGTATCCGTTCAAAGTTTGGCGAATTTCAACATACCCTTCTGGCATCTGATGCAGATATTGCTGTAGTCACAGAAACCAAGCTGACCCTGGATAAGGTGACGCAAGCCGAAGTGACTCTTCCTGGGTACTCCCCTCCAGTAAGACGAGACCGAACACCACAGGGTGGAGGCGTGGCTGTGTGGGTGAAATCCCACCTAGCTTTTCAAGAACTGGAAGCTGTTCCAACCCTTGATCAAGAAGTTGTATGGCTTTCTATCCGCATAAGACCTGGCCGCAAAGTTGTCTTGTGTGCTGCCTACCGCCCAGGGTCTCTTCCTGGCAACGATATCAGTATGGTAGATTACTTGGACCAGACCATTGACGTTGCCCGGGTGGATGCACAGCACCTCATCATCGCTGGCGATTTCAATGCGCACAACACTGCCTGGCTGGGTAGCAGTAGGACAACTCCAGCTGGGGAGAAACTGGAGGACCTCTGCGCACTACATCACCTCCAGCAGCATGTGACGGAGCCTACTCGTGGAAATGCCCTCCTCGACCTCATCATGAGTGACCTGGGCAACCCGACGGTCCGGCTCGGCCCCCCAATTGGTAGATCTGACCACGCCACCATCTTGGCAGAATTCAAGACAGAACTATGTCGAGAGCCCAAGACGGCCAGAACAGTCTGGCAATATGGCCGCGCTGACTGGGACAGATTAAACCACCACCTTAGGAGTGTGGACTGGGATGCCCTGATGTCTGAGGATGCAAACAGCAGCTGCACCAATATTACCTCTGCCATCATAGATGGAATGAACCAGTTTATCCCATCCCAACTTCTCTGTACTCGGCCCTCTGATCCCGCTTGGTGGACGCCAGCTTGCAGCAAGGCCGTGAAGGCGAAACAGAGTGCCTGGAAGTCCCTCAAGAGACGACCAGACTCGCCCCAATGTCAAGCTAACTATACTCTCGCTGTCCACCGGTCTTCTGATTGCCTACGTGATGCCCAGAATCACCATCTAGCAATAGTCCGTGCACGACTCCAGACCGGCAGCCTTCGAGATAAACAGTGGTGGTCAACCATCAAGCAGTCCATCGGAACCTCCCGAAATAGCTCCATCCCGATTCTTGTCGACCCTGCTGGCAAAGAGCATGCCACGAACATCAAGAAAGCAAACTGCCTCGGTCACTACTTCGCGGAGAAATGTAGCCTTGGTGCCAATGACCTGCCAGACACACCTCTACCCCCTATTCGCCAACGCACAGGCAATAGGCTGAAGACCGTACACTTCCGCCCTGCCACAGTCCAGCGAGCTCTCAAGAACCTGGACGCTTCAAAAGCAACTGGCCCTGACGGCATTCCGGCGCAAGTGCTCAGGAAGTCAGCGCAGTCACTCGCCAGCCCTCTGGCAAAGCTATTCACCCAGTGCTTCCGGGACGGGGTGCAACCTGCATCCTGGAAGATCGCGAACGTTGTCCCTATTTTCAAGAAAGGCTCCAAGTCTACCCCGAAGAACTACCGTCCGATTTCCCTCCTCTCTATACTCTCTAAGGTGATGGAGGCCATCATCAATCGCAGCATCACTAACTTCCTGGAAAGCAATCAGGTCCTCTCCGGACGGTAATTCGGGTTCCGACGCGGCCTGGGCACGACTGATCTTCTCCTCTCACTTCAGCATGAGTGGAGTCGGACGTCCAATGCTGGGGGTGTGACCCGAGTCCTTGCTGTCGACGTGGCCGGCGCATTTGACAAAGTGTCGCACCGCGGTGTAGTTCACAAGGCCAGATGCCTTGGGCTGACTGGCCACCTGCTCTCATGGTTGAAAAACTACCTAGAGAGCCGCCAGATCCGGGCCGTAGTTGGTGGACAAACATCAGCCACACACGCCATCCGAGCAGGTGTGCCTCAAGGAAGCATCCTGGGGCCCACTCTCTTCTTGATCTACATTAATGACGCTGAGGACCACCTTCCCCAATCGACCAGCCTTGCCACGTACGCAGACGACACGACGCTCTACAAGTGTATCCGGTATCTCGGCAACCTCGCAGCTGACTGTGATGATCTCCAGACCGCCGTCAATGCCCTTGCTGCCTGGGGTGCGACCTGGCGAGTGACATTCGAGCCCGCCAAGTCATACCTACTCCACGTCAGCCACCACCGTCGGCCCTGGGACTGCCCTCCGGTCACATTCCAAGGTGAAATGGTTCCTGAAACCCAGTGCCTGAAGCTACTTGGGATAGCCTTCGACAGTCAACTGACATTCTGCCAGCAGATTCGACAGTCAGCCCTGCGCGCCACACAGCGACTGGGCTTCCTGAAGAAGGCCTCAGCAGTGCTTGACCCTGGCTGCCGTCTCACGGTCTACAACGGCTTTGTTCGCCCAGTCTTAGAGCATGGCATGCTAGTCTGGATGGGTGCTTCTCAGACGGTGCTGGCCCAACTCGATGCTGTACAGCGGAGAGCCCTGCATCTGATCGGCGAAGGCGCATATCTGCCAAGCCTCGAACTCCGGCGCAAAGTGGCTGCTCTCTGCTATCTCTACAAAATCCACTACCTGACAGGCCCACAGATGCTAACCCGAATGCTGCCCCCCTCCCAAGCAGTACCAGACCACGACCAACATCCTGCCAACACCAGGCAGCAGGCGCGGGTTGCGGCCGGCCACCGCTACCAGCTGCAGTCTGATATCCCAGCCAATTCTCGCAACAACGTCCGCCGGTCGTTCCCTGAAGGAGTGCTGGACACCTGGAACCAGTTGCCTCGCCAACACCTCCTGGATCAGCCCGACCAGAAGAGGTTGCAGTCCTTCAAGTGCAGCGTCCACCGATTCCTGCGCTCGAGCCACTGGGACTGGGCGACCGACCGGCTGTAGGGACTCGGCGTGGTGGTTTTCTGGACGTTACTGTGAGAGAGTGAGTCTGTGCACAAATATTATGTATGATTACGCGTCTGCGTGAATGTGCACGTGTGTGTCTGTGTGTACGTGTGTGTGTGTGTGTGTGTGTGTGTGTGTGTGTGTGTGTGTGTGTGTGTGTGGTGTGTGTGTGTGTATGTGTGTGCGTGTGTGTGTGTGTCCCATATGGTGCAGTGGTATGTGCAGCGATTTCCAATCGATAGGTTGCGGGTTCGATTCCCGACGATTATGGTCACACACGTCTTTCTTCTCTTTCTCAGACTCTTCCTGACTTTTCTTTCATTCTCCTGGGTGGTTACCAACAGCCAGTGCATGCCGGAGTATGTGGTGTGATGTGTGTGCGGGAAAAAAGAAGAAAAAAAGACCAAAAAGTAGGGATTCACTGGCCAGAAAAAAGCCACTTCAAAGCTGTGTGGTGTAGACCAGGCTGAATAGTGGTGGTCAATTCTTCAGCCTTGCAAGCTGTTGAATGGTGCAATCCCTGCACAAGTTGCTATGGCTTCTGCTGTAGCATCGCTATCATCGCCTCTGGCGATGGGCGTCCAATGGTCAATGGTGTGTGTGTGTGTGTGTGGTGTGTGTGTATGTGTGTGAGTGTGTGTGTGTGTGTGTATGTGTGTGCGTGCGTGCGTGCGAGCATGTGTGTGTGTGTGTGTGCGCGCGCGCGCGTGTGTGTGTGTGTGTGGGTGGGTGGGTGGGTGCACATGGTTGGTATGTGGTGTTTATGTGAGCGTATGATAAAAATCTCTTCAATAATATTAATATCCTTATTTCAAGATTACCCAACGCCGGCGAACGCCCTATCAGGTTGATCTCCTATTTGAACATGCGCATATGTGTGTGTATGATGTGCCCTAGCTCACTTATAATTATTATTATTTTGTTATACACGTACATGTAGATCATGTCCATGATGCCGTTCCTTTGCGCAGGGCGACCGCACTATTGTTTTTAAGATTAACATCATTATTACTTCTGCATATGCATTACATACTATGATCATGCTGGCTTCATCCCTTATCTCCTAAGCTACCACCCCCCCCCCCCCCCCCCCCCCCCCCCCCCCGTGCGTCTGCCCAGTGTTGACTCCGAGACCCACGGTCGGACGAGCTGCCCAGGCCTCACCACCACTGCCGTTTCCGTGCTGCCTTCTCGATACATACGTATGTACACTGTATATCATGTGCACATTCACATGTCTGAAGGTTTGTGGTTTTTCAATAAAAAAAACAAACAAAAAAAAACAAAAAAACGTGCGCTTGCACACATGAACCGCAAACGTACGCGTGCACACGCATGACCGAATGAACACAGCTTTTGTGTTTAGTTTTGATAGCCAGACTAGGCACTTACCCAAGTCGTCAGCAACAATAAACAGGATGTGCGGCTGCTTGTGCCTGATCGTCTCCGCATCTCCACCGCCCGCGCCTGCCCAGCCTTTCGGTGATGCAGCAGACGGTTGCCGGTAATGATAGCACGCTGCCAGAATCAAAGCAGCTACGACTACCGAAGTTTTCACTAAAATGACATCCACCAACATCTTGTCGCGAGCAATAATCACGGAAGACACGAAATATTTCGCGAACACGTCGCCTACTGCGGCATAGCCTAGCCTGCATTGGACAGGCCAGGCGCGACGTGCAGACGGTTGCCGGTAATGATAGCACGCTGCCAGAATCAAAGCAGCTACGACAGTGACTACCGAAGTTTTCGCTAAAATGACATCCACCGACATCTTGTCGCGAGCAATAATCACGGAAGACACGAAATATTTCGCGAACACGTCGCCTACTGCGGCATAGCCTAGCCTGCATTGGACAGGCCAGGCGCGACGTGCAGAGTTGATCTGAATGGAAACCGTGGTGTGTCGATGATCCAAAGACTGGTTGGCAGCGAGTAGATCTACAGCTAGCTTCCGCTTAGTATTGTTCAGTCTGAAAGTAAGTAAAAAAAGTGACTACCTACTAGTTAGTCACAGTAGAGAGCACTATAGTGTGTTGTTGTAGCTCTACACACAGGCTATTGCCGAGTAAATTCTGGCAAAGCTAGGTCCCCCACTAGATCTACTACTGTCGTATCCATACTATTGACACGTGCCTTTTAGGCCTCTACGGGACAAGTATGCCTTAGGTGTCTAATTATTTTTATACCATGGTACGGTACGGAGGGCCTGTTTTCAGCCAATCAGCGCTCGTCTAGCCATGGTTATATTGGCCAGTATAAATCCCGCGCGGGATTTATATAGAATATAAATCCCGGTGCACGGTACGTACGCTAGGGCACTGCCACCGTACAAGTTCACTGCCTGAAAGGCAGTGAACTTGTACGGCGGCAGTACTCCAGCGCACGGACCATACATAAACAGACACAACGGACACCACATGCGCGTGTACACTCCACACAGAACGGCACACTGACGAGGAACAGTACACAATGGAAAAGAAGAATGACCTGGAATTCGTCTACAGAGTATTCTGTTATACTGAATCTGAGGATAAAGAACGTCGAATAACCACGAAGTATCCCGAATGGGTCAGCAATGTACATTGTACTTCGAAGAGTTGAAGATCATCAACGGACTGTCTCCTTCGTAAATAAGTTTATAATACCAGTGTACATGCACTTCAACCCGATTGGAAAAGGCTACAATAGATTGGATTGAAATGTGATACAAAACAGTGTATGCAAATGCATCTACTTGCAAGCAAAACTGATTATGAGATGCCGCATGTGAAAATCAGCACTGTACCATAATTATAGTAACACTTACTCCCAAAGAGTCCAAGCTGTAATCTAACTAGTGACGGTAGTTTGATTCAACGACAAACTCCAGCACCGCAGCAATTCAGTCGACTTCCGCACCGCTCACGACTCAAGACAAGATCATGAAGATGCTACAATATGCACTGGAACTGAAAGGAAATCTTATGCCAAACATCCACGGAGGAATCTCCTTCTGACCTTGCTCGACCATTCTTTCAATTGACAACTGATAACCATCAGAAGAGGTTCATGTACTGCATGATGTAGGAGATCTCCAAATAGGTTCGTTGTTCTGGAAATGCGTAGGGGTACCTGGCATAAGTAGGATATGACCCTCGTAGTCGGGTTATACCGTACCCTCATATAAATCCCTCCTGCTATCGCAGTCGGGATTTATATTCAGCCGGTATAACCCTCTGACTCGGGTTATATCCTCTACATCTATCTCCCGTAAACGGGTTCATAATCGTCTTTATTTTATATCTTCACACATGTACACAAGGCCTGGGGCCTTCCTTATTTGGTATACTCTGTTATTTCCCCACATGGCTCCCGCTCTTTATGCAACAGTTCGTACACATATTTACTACGGTTTGATACGCTTTTGCATGCGGGACCAGCAATCTCGTGGCCATGGACTTCCATGGCCGCAACTAGATACTACATGTGTAAGGACGTTTAGCAATGCGAAAGTTCGAAAGAAAATTCGAGTCTGGGAATGAGTACAGAAAAAAAGCTCGAAACTTCGAAAACTTGGACGCGAAGTTGCAGTGATTTGCGAAAGTAACTTTCTCTTTTCTCGGTACGCATTTGACTACAGGGAGTAGTAATTTTACAGCCCCTGCTTGAGACTGAGCTGCATATACGGTACGGTACTACAAGATTCAAATAACTTCGAGAAAAAGTCATTTCGCATTGCTAAACCTCACAAGTTTTCTTTTTCGAAACAGATTTTCGCGAAATATCACCACCACAAAAAGTTCGAATTTTCGCATTACTATTGCTATCACCTTCCTTTCTCGCTCTCTCTCGCCTTCCGCCTTCAGGCGGAAGCTTCGGCTTTCGTCTGTCTTGCCTTGTGCTCTCAATATCGTCTCTTGAACCAAGTTAGCTCCTTTTGAAGATGTGAGTCAACCTGAACGCTGGTGTGAGTGTACGTGTCTGTATATGCCTGAGTGTGTGTGTGAGAGTATGTCTAGGTATGTGTGCGTGCGTGCGTAAGAGTAATTCTGTTGGTGGACTCTCTCCAAGTGGCCACCACTGCACGGCCTTGTAATGTGAAGGTTTAGTAGTAAGTTTAATAGTTCATGTCGAACCGCAGCCTTGGGGTCCAACCCCGGGCCGACCGGATACGACACTACTACTAGTACTAGCAAGAGTAGATAAACATATCTACTCTTGGTACTAGGGAAGCAGGAGCGTGACTCTATCCCTATGGTCGGAAAGCGGCATTGAAGATCTGATCCAGCATGAATGATTATGTGGCCGCACAGCTGAGCAAATGGTGCAAAAAGTTGCTCTCGGTCTCGCTTGATTGCTGGCGTCTTTACAAGATAGAGAGAGTGTGATACATTTTATGTTTGAACCTCACGTAGACGTGACGGAATCCGATACACGACTTGTGCAGCAAAACAGGGCCCATCGTCGACCAGTGCGGGTCTCGCGATGCCGCATGCATAATGCATATTGCACGCATGGTACATATGGCAGGAAGGAAGTGAATGACACCAACAACGGCAACATGCTGTGCTCCTTCCCATTAGGGCTTGGCGGATAATGCCGGCAGAAAAATTGGCAGAATTAAGTACATTTTCTGGTAATTTTATGCATGTTCGGTATGTGGATAAAGAAATGGAGCAGAATTCCCCGCCATAAGCTATAAGGTTTGCATGGTTCTGCCAATTTCGGTGCAAAAAAAGCAGAATCTGCCACCTTTTCGAGCATTATCCGCCAAGGCCTACTTCCCTGATCCCATACTCGGTTGGCGGGTCTCGATTTGTGCGACCATGTGAACCGTCGCGGCGTCGGGGCAGTTTGGAGTCACCTGGCTGTAGATCAGGCAGATCATCGGACCGTCCAAAACAGGACTATCGCATAGCACTTGAAATCAGGTACAGTATACAGTAGTAGTAATAATAATTATTATTATAATACATGTACCGGCAATCATTCATACGATCCCAGCGCTGCGTACCTTGCCTGCTTTTTCCGCTAGCTGCTTACAATTTCTCCTTGGGCACCCTACCCTGTAAGAAGGCCATAAGCCTGTGACATGTTGGGTATACCCAAGTAAAATAACGAGAGAGCTTGGAAGCTCAGGGCCACACGCTATGCTTTTTTGCCTTGATGACCTACATGTATACAAAAAAAGCATAGGGATGTTATAAATTCTTATAAATTTCTACTTTTGTTTTAGACATAACCTGGGATTCGAACCCGCGCTATCGCCCTGCATGCATCCCCCGATACACTAACTTCGCATACATACTAATTCTTATTGCATGTCACGTGAGGGTTGCCTGTACTACAGCCAATGAGCGCTCTTGCTCAGCGGTCTGTATTTCTCGGTATTGCCCGGCAAGTTATTGCCCGCTCAGTTACATGTACGCGCATGCGGACTGTCATTCTTGTACTTTGTGGTTCGTGATCAGATCAAGTTGCTACAGTTCGGAGTTTCAAATTAAATTTGAAACACAAAACAGCAACTAACTTGATCTGACTACAAACTACAAAGCACGAGAATGACAGACCACACGCGCGCATGTAACTGAGCTGACAATAACTTACTTGTTCCAGCCACCTGAACCAGCCGCCTCAGCAGGTGAATGCAACCTTGACATCGATATCGATGCGTTGGTGAGCAGCCGACGAACTTGACGAACTGAATGCGTTCGAGACGAAGTTGTGGACTCGGCCCATCCCAGTTTCAGTTCCTGTTCCAGGACTTCCTACACGCAGTGCTCAATCACGAACAACAACACCATCGATATCGTAAAGAAATAGAGAATTTCAAAACCACAAACGACGTTTACCACTGAACAAGTGTGTCGGGAGACTGAGAAAGTCGGAAAGGTTTCTCTCCATTTTCTGGAATGTTTGGGTCAAGCATGCAATAAATGATTTACTGCGCCTCGTACGCACTCGTACACGGGCAATACCGGCTTGATACATGACCTCACGCTCACGGCTGGCGCCGTTCGGTCATGTATCAGCCGGTATTGCCCTTGTACTCAATTTATCAGCTACAGCTCGGAGAACTTTCTTCTTGTCAATTATACAGTCTACTCTAGAATATGCAAGTAATGCGTATGTGCACTGTTTGAAAACTACCCTATATAACAGGCTTGTGACGGTCAGCCATATTGCGATGAAGAAGGCATTTGGTTTAGATAGAATGACCCCAACTGCATTAGTTTTACAACGGTGTCATCTGTATTCGTTTGAGCAACGAGTTAATTTGAAACTATACGTTTTGGTCTATCGCTGCTTGTCATCAATTACTAGCCCCCTCCTTCAGTCACTGTTTCTCCTGCGTTCAGTTGGCCCGCACACAAATGCTCGTACTCGTGGCCAGGATACAGCTGCCTTAGTATTACCTACTGTACATATTGGGTATGGACTGCGCTCAGTTTCTTTTCTGGCGGCAGGTCGGTGGAACACTCTTCCTCCAAACTGTCGTCAGGCACAATCTGCTGGTACTTTTGCTCACCTCACAAAGATTCATCTAGGGTTCCCTGTAACAAGGCCATGCCTGTTGGGACTCCCCTAGTCAAATAATAAATACTACTACTACTACTACTACTCGTTTGTACTCGTGCAGTAAATCATGTGCAGGAGACCTGCGGTGCAGACCAGCTATGTTCTGGGGCCAAGGCTGGTATTGAAGCTGCTGTTCACTCCATGTCCCAGCTATTCAATCAGGACGAGACCGAAGGTCTTTTACTGGTGGACGCGGCAAACGCGTTCAACTCCATCGGTCGGCCAGCAGCTCTCTGGAACTGCAGGGTTTTGTGGCCGCGCTGTTCCAGGTTCCTCTTCAACTGCTATCGGGGCTTCCCAGTGGTAGTTCTGAAAGACCCAAATGGCGCCGGCACCCATGCCATCCTCAGCCGCGAAGGAACAACCCAAGGCTGCCCATTTGCCATGCTCATGTATGCTATCGGCATACAGCCCCTCATCGAGCGTCTCAAGGAACCAAG